CCTTTAATAAAAAATTACCTCATCAGCAGCAATGCAACTGATGAATAGAAACTACAAAAGAAGAGTTCTGCACTAAGATACATTAATGAGGTCATATGATGCTGCTAAAAAGAACATAATTTTGTGTATTTGGTGTAATGAAATGTGTTTATGCGGTTTAAGGTTAAAAAAAACATTATTTTCCACATACTGTACATTATTGTTTCTCCTCTATGCCCCGCCTTTCTGAAACGCGCCAATTTTTACAAAGCTCATCGGTCTGAAAAGTTAGGTGTGCTGTGATTGACCAGCTATCCAGTGTGTTGTGATTGGCTGAATACCTCAAGCGTGAGACAGAAATGTTACGCCCCTCACCATATTGTGATGATGCCCTGTCAGGCCGGAGCGATGATTCAAAAACATGAAAACCTATTATAAACGAGGCATTCGTTGCATCCAGTGGAGACATAATTATGGATTATAATGACTTATACTGTCTTTTTACGCGTTGCGTTGCATCGCGCCGCGCCGCGTTGTAATGACTTTGATTACTTATTTTTAGGGAATTAATTATTATTAATTCATTCAGGGTTTGAAAGGGCTCGGATCTGAAAATTTGAAGTCCACCTTATTAGAACTGTTTTCAAATTTCAATAGTTTACACCTTATCAACGTCCAGCGAGACGTTAATATCAGTGTATCTTAATCTGACTGTGTATTTTCCTTGGCGACAGGATAATACCTTTGACAATTTGTAAGCTCTTAGAGAGGTAACATGATCTTTGGCAAGGGCTTGACTTTAAAATTATACGACACCAGACAAGGATTCTTTATAAATAAAACACAAATTTTATTGGCTATTCTAGATTACATCAAAACTAAGCTAAAACCCACATACATACACACACATACATACAGATTATTAGAATGAGATGAGTTAACGGAGTTGCATGAAGTTTTCAAAGTTCTAACTCGTTTTCACAAGTGGTTTTAAATTCACCTGAGAGAATTCACAAAGCAGATATTTGGCTTATGTTTACTGCTTAAAGTAGCTCGACACCAGTTCAGAAGAGATAAGATTTTGTTCGTTTACTTGCGTTTTGCTTTGGTGACAGCTGAGTTGTTGAGAGGTTTTTGGTTTGGCTGCTGGAGGGAAATTCCGTTGCTGATTGGTTGGTCGCTTTGGCACCGGAATGACATTTGGATGACGTCCTTTGGGGAAGCCCTCGGTGGATTGGTTGCTTGCCGGGTTACGGAAGAGCCTCTGGTTCTTCTGAGAGAGAGACTGCTTTAGCAAGACTTTGCGTTCTGCAGAGTTACGAAGTTTCAACTGAAGTGTTTGAGTTCTGGAGTCTCGCGATGCGGTGTTACGGCAGGGAAGCGCTTGTAGCGCTGTTACCAAAAGGAAAGCCAGAGGTCTTGAGCGAGACAGGGGTGCAGCCCTGAATCTGAGGATCAAAAGGGGTTTTGATCTGTGGCATACGTCCAACCTACGGCGCAATCTTCCAATCGGCTTCTTGCAAGGCGGAGCATGCATACATTAACAAGAGGCTTCAATTCATCACATGAGGAAATGTCTTTGCAAGTTTTGTTAATAACTTCTATAAAGTGTCAAACCACACACACTGTTCAAAATAACACATTTTCCTTCATACCAAGGTTATTCAAATATCATGACCATTCCTACAAGCCTAAACTTCGCATATCTGGTATACACAGAGTACCTTTAATCACTTCTATAAAAAAGGGTTATAAAGTATCGATTAAACTTCATAGGTTACAATAAACACATCAAACAGAAAGCATATTATTCGGGAGTATATTGCTCCGATACTTTAAATTATTTTACTGATTGTCTTTTGAAATGTCTGTGTATGTTCTGTTTCTTTGCCTGTGACCAAAAGAAACGTAAGGGTTTCAGTCATGCAGGAAGCAGATGGTCAAAAAGTCATGTGGCGTCACGCTGTATATCCCGTGCTTGCAGGGCGTGATTAAATTACTGTCCTTTTTCCTGTTTGGATGTAATCGTTCCATTCATTAGTGGTCACAAGACATCGTGGTTTCTATATCATGTGAACGGACCTTCCAGTTCTGATACCAAGAAAGCTTTGTTGTCTCTTGATTGGATTAGTCTTTAATCACTCCTCAGAGTAGATGACGACAAGACTGGCAGGAAGTCGACCCAGAATATTGGAGTCATGTGCTGGGTGATTAGCAAACCTCATGATGGCTGATAGGGGCATAGCAGTGCAGAGCAGAGGCCGGGGGCTAGCATGAGGAACGGCGGGAGGGTTAGAGTGAGCAGAGGCGGGTGAGCTTGAGAACGGCGCGGCCGACAATTTCGACGAAGGAGCGTCCGGAAGGACATGTGACGACCCCGGACTGGACTCTGCTTCGTCCACGGTGAAAGCCGATCCAGCGATCCACAGCGCAAAGTTGTAGTATTTTCTCAGCAACCAGCATGGATCAGCTCCAGGCATGACGAAGCAGATATCGTCCTCTTTTGGAAGACCAAACAAAGTAGTTTCGCTTTCACAACGAAGCTCACACCGTCTTTATGACATGGCAGCGGCAACAACAAAACTACAGCGAGAATAAAAGTTATGCCTTTTTTCTTTGCGTGAACATTTGGACGGCGTTATGCAAATCTTCCCACATAGCGACGTAGACATGTGGGGGCGTATTAGAACGAGCCATTTTAGGTAGGCGTGGCTGACTCTTAACTTTTATAAAGAATATCTCTTTGGATTTGAGACTTTAGTCTTTGCAATTTTACAGATCTTCTTTATGCACCAAGTGCTTGTAACACTCCAAAGAGAAAGGAAAAATTGAATCGCATCATGTGACCCCTTTAAGACTTCACATTTGAACACTTCACCTCCCGGCACTAAAATAATAAATTCTGCACTTCACTCCAAGTGTGGAGACAGGTGCTTATTATTTGCAACAAAAGTGTTTGTTCTGTGGTACTCAACTCGTCAATGACCTTTGAGATGATGGGCAGGAGGCACTGAACTCATTCACAGTCTAACAGCAGGTGACAAGAGCATGACATTGCATTTCCTTTTTGTCTGTATGACGTAATACACGCACAAATTCAATTCTGGAATTTGAAAGCAGGGAGCAAACAAGATGACTAATTGTAATTTTAATTTAATTCAATATAATATAAAATGGACTGAAATTCATGTAACTGCTCTCGTTTTTAGTGATACATTTGAAATCTATAATTCAGGGTAATATATTACTTTTTTGTGAAAACTGCTTTTGCTATCTTTAATAATAATAATAATAATAATAATAATAAATACAAAAGTGACACTTGGCCTTCATTTTATAATGGAAACAATTATATTTAAAAAGTGTGGCTAATACAATAAGTTTGTCTGAATACGTTTTAGGTCTCAAAGTAAAATTCAATTTAATGGAGCATTGTTGAAGAATGCTGTATTTTACAGAAAGCTATAATTTAACCCAAGGTCTTCAAATAGAGCCAAAAGTTATCTTTTCTCAGATTTTTGTTGTTGTTTCACTATTTCTTTAAATTGTAAATCAGTAAATTCCTCTTCCTGTCATCCCAATTCAAACTCCAATTCAACATCCTGTGAGGTGTGGCCAGTTCATCTCAAATTTCAGTTCAGGAATTGTAAACGTTTGTCAATTGTAAAATTCTATAGGGACATATTGAGCATTTGTTGAACTTTCATTCATTTCAGAGCTGTGCTTTGATAACAACCATTAAATATGCATAAATTCAGGGTTATTTATTTTTTACCCTTCTGTCCGCATCTCTTCATTTTTCATTTTCTCTTTTGCTTGCTTTCTTTTTAGTGAACACAATCTACTCAAACTTGAGCAACCCTACCCTTCAAAACCCTCTGTAATCCACCAGCCTTGAGCTATCCAGATGCAGCTCTTAAAGTTGTCATCACAGTTATCTAATTGAATGTGTGTTAGATTTTCCACTTTCCACTTTAGCTGTAGTTAAAGTGGGGGTTACTGAACCATGTCTCTTAAGCAGAGACATAAATCTTATTGGTGTTTCATTGCTAGGTTGTGACAACTTATATACCTGCTGTTTAGGACTGTACAAATCAATAATAATAATAAAAATAAATAAATAAAAATAAGGCCTTCAGTAACGAAGAAAGACAACAAAAGTGAATAGCTAAGACCTCAAAATATTGCAACACTAGGGTAAGTAGATTGGAATTGAGGCTGCAAGTAGAGAACAATAAGGGACAAAGTGCAGGATAAAGTCATAATAAACAATAAATGAATCCCAAAGCCCAGGTGCATCTGTTAGGATCAGAACCACTGTCACCACCATGGACTTTTAGTTTGATTTCTTCACTCATGTTTCCCCTGACCTAGTTTCCCCTCATGGGTTGATTAGTTCATTCTGTTCACCTGTGTTCTGTTAGTCCCTTATTTGAGTTAGTTTAAGTACTCCTCGTTCTGTTCCTTAGGTTGTGCGGTATTGAATGTTGATGTTGTTTTGCTGCGTGTTCCCTATGCCTTCATGGATTATCATCTTCCTGGATTCTATTAAACTCTTGTGTAGATTACCTTCATCTTCGTGTGCCTTTCCTCTACACGCAGCGTGACAACCACAGACAGGGCATTTCCTCTATCTTTTCAATTTAGACTGCAAACTGCTTTATTCTGTGACCTGTGGTCAGCAGTATAATGGAAGAACTTTAATTTATACATTGATTTCAATTAAAATGCAATGAAAACTAAATAAATATGTTAAAAATAAAATACATAAAATAAAAAATTCTGGGAATATATCCTGAATTAAAGGGATAGTTCACCCACAAATGAAAATTTGATGTTTATCTGCTTACCCCCAGGGCATCCAAGATGTAGGTTGTTTCTTCAGTAGAACACAAACTAAGATTTTTAACTCAAACTGTTGAAGTCTGTCAGTCATATAATGGAGGTGAATGGAATAACATCTTTGAGAGTCAATTAAACATACACAAACGAAACCAAATTAAACCCTGTGGCTCGTGACGATGCATTGATGTGTAAAGACACGAAACGATCGATCTGTGCAAGAAACTGAACAGTATTTATATAAAATTTTTCCTTTCTCTTTGGAGTGTTAATAGCTATTGGTGCATAAAGAAGATCTGTAAAGTTGCAAAGACTAAAGTCTCAAATCCAAAGAGATATTCTTTATAAAAGTTAAGACTTGTCCATGCCCTCCTAAAATGCCTCGTTTAAACATGCCCCCACATATCTACATCACTGTGTGGGAAGTTCCCTTTCAGTCAGTCACATTCTACGTTACGTCAGTCGTGACTGACGAATTGGGATCTCGCCCGAGTGTAAACTAAACAAACCAATGACAGTCTTGGTGTTACGGCGCGTCAGCGGGGGTTGCCATTCAGTGCTGCTCATCTTTGGCGTGCTGCAGCTGCCATTCTGCGGTCTCGCCGCGACCTCCCCTGGGCGCTTCAGCGCTCTCTCTTAAAGAGTATTTCCTTTTTTTCCTAAAAGAGCAAATATCTAAAAGAGCTCCACGAGTGACGGGCGTCTTTTTAAAGATGGCTTCCCGCTCGTGCGTTTCTGGATGCGGTCGTTTCCTGCCTCCATCTGATGGTCATGATCGCTGCCTCTCGTGCCTGGGCTTACAGCACGCTGAAGCAGCGCTCATGGATGAGTAATGTACTCAGTGCGGGAACATGACCATTGCAACGTTGCGGTCTAGATACCTCCTCATTAAACGGGGGGTATCCCCCTTGCCATGCCCCGCTCTAGCTCTTCCGGTTCTCGGAGGGCTACTTCGGTTCATGGTAAGGGAGACCTGAGGGTTACGGGGAGAGCTTCCCCGTCGAGTACGTCTCCGCGGGCCTCTCATTCCTCAAGCACGGCGCACCACCTGGGGTTTCTGGATGAGTATGCTGGGTCCTCGGACAAGGCGGGGTCCAGCATCTTGTGTGGGACACAGGCAGAGGACAGGATGTTGATCGCTGCATCGGCGGGCGAGCTAGGCTCTGGAGATGAGGATTCTGCTGCGCTGCCACCGTAAGGTAGAGTGGCGTTGCCCGAGTCAGATCCAGAGCTGACCGCTATGCTTTCCCGGGCCGCCGAGAGTGTCGGGCTGCACTGGAGGCCTCCTCCTTCTCCCGAACGCTCGAGGCTGGATGATTGGTTCCTGGGGGAGCAGGCCAGGTGTCGGCAGCCGCCTCCGGTTCCATTCTTCTCGGAAGTGCATGAGGAGGTTACTAAGTCTTGGAAGGCACCTTTTTCTGCCCGAAACAGGCTTCCTCCGTCCTCACCGCCCTCGACGGGGGGGCGGCCCAAGGGTATGTGAACATCCCTCCGGTTGAGCGCGCTATTGCGATGCAGCTTTGCCCGCAAAGCGCCTATGGCTGACCTGGGCAGATATGAGGGAGACCAACAAGCATCGCTTCCTGGACTCCCCGATCTCCCAGGCCGGCCTATTCGGGCAAAGCGGTGGAGGGCTCTGCCCAACAGTTCTCCGCCGCACAGAAGCAGACGGAGGCGTCTCGACACATCCTGCCCCGGCGGTCAGCTGCTGTAGCCACCCCACCGCCGGCTGCAGCCCCTCTGTCTGCTCGTCGCCGAGAGCCCCCTCCTGCGGCCTCCATCTCCGCTCTAGCTCGGCCACAGCAGCAGCCTTCACAACGGCCGCAGCGTGGAGCTGGCCGCAGGAAAGCGGCACAGCCCGTCTCCGCCCCTGCCAAGCCCGTGAAGCGCCAGGGCGGGCGGCGTCCCTGGGACGGGCGATCCGGGGTTCTTGGATCCGGCTCTTCAGGAGATGGTGACCGCACCTTATTTCATTTTAGAGCTACTGAGGGAGGCTTGAGCCTTTAATAGGCAAAAACTATCCTAAAGTATCATGTGTGAGGTCTTTTATTGATTCATTTATTTGCTTGTTTGTTTGTTTTGTACAATGATCAATATGTACACACGACAGCACATAAGTTTCATAGTCGCTATCTCGACTGGAAACCATAACGACGCTTCGTGTTTTCTGTCATCTGGGCTGCATTCAGCCCAGACAAATACGGTGCAAAACGTTTTTTAAATGGAAACGGTGGTGCGTTGAACACCCAGTTCTGATGACGCAAGAGTTGCAACTATGGCAGCTGAGAAGGCCGTTCTTTGTGTTCTTTGTGAAGAATTTTCGGAGCCTGATGAAATCGGTATAAAAACGTGTTTAATACTGCAAAATACGCTCGATGTTACAGTCATTACCCTTGCCGTCCAGAATAAAAGAGAACATTCCAATCAAATGAAGGGATTTGTGCAAACTGTGATTCCTAATTATTGTGATCCAACATTTGCCTCGCATTTCAGGATGAAAAGACAAACATTTTAGGTGAAGGTTCATCCACTTCTTACCTCCAAGACTGTGTTATGATCTATATGACCGTATTATTTTTATTGCGAGTATTAGGCTTATCATTATTGCTGATCACGGTTGTTGTGCTATGACATTGTAATATTTACTATTATATAATCAGAGGGGTATAGAAAAGTTTATGAAAGTGTCACTTCATAATACAATAGCAAAATATATAAATATGTATAGCATTTTTGTTACATTAATCAGTATTTAGCACACCTTCCTAAGGAAAGTATATGGACCAGAAGACATTGCAATTACTAAATTATATTTATACAGACTTAAAGAAGTTCCAGATCTATACTTGTGCTCTTATTATTTTAGTTATTTTGCCTTTAATGTAAATAAACATGTGCAAACAATATACTTGCTCTTGTGAATTTATTTGGATGTTAATTACATTGTGCGAGCTGTCTCTTTAATGCCGCGCAGTTTACATACATGTTGCTGCTGATTGGGCTGACATGTTTGACACACCCACCAAACAAGAGAAAACACATCTCAAACCCCGTTGCACACCGTCTCCAGGAAACATGTCGTTCAAACCGGAAACCATAGCAAAATGGTGCACACCGGTTTGAGCTTGAACTTGCCCCTATTTAGAAAAGAGCTAGCGATGCCCTAGTCTTTTGAATCGGTTCTTTCAAAGTGAACTGGCCAAACATGTTAGCAGAAGTGAATCGATTTGTTATTCAGTCTGAATCACTTGGACAGTTCACTCACGTATTGAACGTACTGAGCGATTTCTCACTTGTTTTCTCGTGTTGATATTTTAAAACACAGAGAACAAAAGCGCCAAGCATTTACAATGATGAATTCAAACAAGCCTGCAAAAAGCATCCTATCGTGTTCCAGCGACGAAGAAGATCGGTATTAAAGTTCAACACCTGCATGGCCAGCTTGTGAATGACTCTTTACTGCATGTAAAGACATTTACGAAAATATGATTATCAGACCACTAAAAGGTCACATAAGCAATAACAATACCAGAGCAACTAATGGTAGTCTACTATATTTGTTTATTCTTGAAAAGCAACGTTTGGCAAAATGTAAGAAAATATCAAAGTGAGGGGCATTATTTAAAAAATAGCACTCACAAGCACAACTTTCATTCTTTTCTCAAAAAGACACGTGCACACACACACACACACACACACAATGGATATACATATTATCAAACCAAAATTTGAATGGCAAAAACATAGATGAGTTTGGGAAATCAGATATGATTGTGACATTGATTGTGATATTTCCATTAATGAAAGGAAGTTTCCTGGTGCAATATAATTACTCCTCACCAGGGTAAAAGCCTGGAGTAACATACAAGTGGGTGTGAAGGCAAAGTAGAAGAGGCGTTGTAATGTTTCATGGCAGGCATTACAGATCCCCAGTGGCGCTTCTTACGAAAAAGAAAACTTTATTGTGAAAAACTGATGCGTACAAGTGCCCCAAAATAGAGCAGTGTGCAGAAGATATGCAGGTTTGTTTAGAATAGAATACAACTCTGCATCTTCTCTGGCACTGAATCCAAAGAGTCCGGGACTGTAATGGAGCTGCTCTATCTGTTTGGTCACACATTTTGTTTCTCCAGCAGGTATATTACAACGCCTTGGCCACTGCAGACACTTCAAAAGACCTGTATGTGCCAGACTAGAATGTAAGGTATGTCATGAGACATTAATGTTCTTATATATAGTGAAGTGAGTGAAGTGACGTGTGGCCAAGTATGGTGACCCATACTTGGAATTTATGCTCTGCATTTAACCCATCCAAGTGCACACACACAGTAGTGAACACACACACCGTGAACCCACCCCCAGAGCAGTGGGCTCCATATTGCTGCGGCGCCTGGGGAGCAGGTGGGGGTTCGGTGCCTTGGTCAAGGGTCTCACCTCAGTCGTGGTATTGAGGGTGGAAGAGAGCACTGGTTATTCACTCCCCCCACCTACCGAGACTCGAACCCGCAACCTTTGGGTTACAAGTCTGACTCTCTAACTGCCACTACTGCCCCCATATATATAATGTGAACACCTGGGAAATAGGCAATATTTCTTATTGATGTGTTGTACCACAATTTGCATTTAATACAGCTTCCAATCTTCAATCTTATATATATTCATTCAACTTTTGAATACTCTCCAGTGGAATATCATCTATCAGAATATGTGCCAATTGCTTTGAAGTGTTAAAGGAGGGAATTGGCTTCTCTCTCTTCTCTTCCAGTGGTTTGATAATATTCAAGTCATATTGTTTGATGATTTTCGCCCACTATTCTCCTTCACTGGTAATGTCTTTATTTTTAAATATGAGCACCTGAAGGAAACCCACGGTGTTACAGGGAGAACATGTAAACTCCACACAGAAAGGACTTCTGGCTCAAGTTCTCTCCTCACATGGCTGACACAAAAAGACTTTGGGTGAGTCCTCAGTTTGATCACAGTGGGATGAAGAGGTTGTGAGGTTGACCGATCAAGGGTGTGTTTTCCAAAAGCAGGGTTGCAATTTATTTCATTTGCATATCTTAAATGAGCAACATATACAAATCCAAAAGTTTTGTAGATGTATGAATGTTTAAAATATGTCGGTTCAGTTTAATATATAACAAAATGTGTATAGAGAACAATGCACAAACTGTAAAAACACTATATACATATAGTGGCACAAGTACAGTTTTGAGTTCTCTCTAGCTTCTTGAACAGTTTATAATAGTTTGAATACTTAAACTGGCAAGATTGAAAAACATTTTAAACTTTAGACATGTTGGCATAATGTCCCCCATCCCCAGGGAATCATGCCACTGGCCAAAAGTATTGTCAGCCATTGTTAGCCAACAAAAGTTTAGTTATTACCAACATAGTAACACAATTTTGTGTTTTCTGAAATCATAGTTCCAGCTACAGCTCTCAACTTGGTTAGAAGAAT